ATCGAACCCGAGTCTGCAGTGTCTTATTCTAGCGTGCTAACCGCTGGACCACAATAGCTGCATTCAGAAAGGTGACACAACTGAGTTTTATAATCATTAAAATAGATGAAAAGAGAAGAGTTGGGGTAAAATAATGAATAAAAATGCTGTGGTCAAGTAAATAAATAAATTTGAAAAGTGTGACTGCTGAGAGCAACAGATTCTGCAGCTAGGGATACCGGCCCTCGCAGCCAAAAAACGGACCGGCCCACCGGGAATTCTCCCGGTCCTCCCGATTAGCCAATCCGGGCCTGGGTAGTGCTGTTGCCTCACAGCAAGAAGGTCACTAGTTTGAGCCTGGGCTGAGTTAGTTGGCATTTCTGTGCGGAGTTTACATGTTCTTCCCGCATCTGTGTGGGTTTCCTCCGGGTGCTCCAGTTTCCCCCACAGTCCAAAGACAGTTGAAATGGATAGGCTAAATTGTCCGTAGTGTATGAATGTGAATGAGAGTGTACGGATGTTTCCCAGAGATGGGTTGAAGCTGGAAGGGCATCCAGTGCGTAAAACATATGCTGGATAAATTTGCGATTCATTCCGATGTGGCAACTCCAGATTAATAAAGGGACTAAGCCGAAAATAAAATGAATGAATGACAAGAACGGATACAATATATTTTAACAGAGTGCCATTGCTATTTTTTTTTATTATTGTTACTATGCATGTTGCTCTTTAATAACTGGATTAACTGTACCCCCTTTACCAAATGTAAAGTAATACATAAATATACAACTGAAAGCCTGGTCTCTCATGCCATATATAAGAGGACTTAGACATTTGGGGAAAATTATAAATACTAAAAAGCAAAAATACATCACATTTACTGCTGTCATTAAGTCAGTATTAACATAAATTACTTCTTGAATAACTCCAGCTAAGATGGATGATGCACCAAGACCCAGCTGTAGTAGATGCAGAAGAACAGTCTTATTAGCTTTTTTGGCTGACAGTTTATCACAAGCAGCTGTTTTAGCCACAGCTGATATAGAGGCATAAGTAAAGATAATAATAAACCATACTACTACAAATAACATACATGTGAAAGCTATGTCGAGTTTATTGTAGATCTGCAGCCTTAAAAGAGTCGTTCTTGAACAGAACAAATGCATTGCTATGTTTGTAGTATCAATGCAATAGAAAATAATAGTCTCAGACAGAGGCTGAATCATACTTATGACACAGACAACACCAATAGCTATATGTGTTCTTTCAAAACTGGTAAATTCTGCATGTCTGAGAGGAAAACAAATGGCCACGTATCTCTCCAGTGACATTAAAGACAGATTTAAAGTAGCAACCTGATAGAGAGATGTTGCAGCAATGATAAGCAAAAGACAAACGTTCTTCATTATTAAAATCCTACTGACAGCACACATATACATCACCACACTAATAAAGAGATTGAGAGTATCGACCCAAAGCATCTGACCAAACAGAATATAGCGAGACGCCTGCTGAAAAACAGCCTTTTTCCTCAAAGTGAGGATCATGACCCCGTTGACATAGAGGAAAATAACACATGGAGTCACAATCAAAAATGTCCTCACTTCTGTATACTGATCCATGAGTCTTTGAGTGTTGTTAGATGTAGATTCATTCAAATTAGACATTTTCAGAATTAAAAAAAAGATGAAGACCAAATTTATCACAGATGCTGTTATAGAACCCTGAATATAGAACAATTTGCAAGCCTCTGAATCTGTAATCTGTGTGCTGCAGGTGCTGGGTGCTTCTGAAGATAGATACCAGAGCATCACATTTTAAATACTATCAAACTGAATCCCAGAGGGTTGTTTATGTATGTGCAACAAAAAGCATGCCACAATAGCAAACTACACTTAACCACAGTTTTAAAGGACATTTTTGTGCTTTTTATGCTTTTCCTAGCTTTATTCAGTTATTATATCAACACTTGAATATGTTTCATTAAAAAATATCAACAGTATAAGAAGGGGTGTAGAATAAAGATAAAATAAGTGTAAAGCAAAGCATGAACACATTACTCTGCACCCAAACACAATCAAGCCTTTCAAAAACTGTGTATTGACCACCAAAAAACAAAACAAAAAATTGGGGGAGGGATCTGGAGATTTTAAATTATACCCATTTTAATATGTTTTAAAACGCAATTTCTTGTTGTTATGGTAAAACTGATTTTTCAGCAGCCACTACATAGTGGCTACATTTTTTAGTGTTTTCTGTCCAGTGCCTCAATGTGGTGGAGGCTTCTCCACTTTCCCATACTATGGTATGTAGTGCATTCCTTGCTACCCCTCTCACAGTCACTGAGGCCTCTCTCGTCATGGCCAATGAGGCCTTTCCCATAGAAGCCATTGCTGACTCCCTCATCTTGGGTACATAGGCCTTCTTTTAGTGCTGCATGGCCACAAAGGCATTCTTATCTCCTTTTGTCAGTCACTAGATGTTTTTCCACTCTCTCCAGTCCAAGATATAGGGCTTTCATCGGCTGTAGGAGCAGTGAGGCCAAAATCATGCCACATTTCCACTGTACGCACAGTAGCTCACAGTACAGCATGAAAACCCCACCGTAAAAATGGCCCGCACCAATCAAAGATCCCAACCCTCACAGTTCAGTGGAGAACAAGAACAAGCCCAAATCATAAAATGTTGGGACAGTATGGAAAATGCTAATAAAAAAAAAGAAATTATTGATGTCCAAATTTACAGTCCCTTTATTAATAACTCCACACAGAAATGCCAACTGACCCAGCCGGGTCTTGAACCAGTGACATTGCTGTAAGGTGACAGGGCTCACCACTGAGCCACTGTGTCACACAGAATAGAATATATAAATATTACATATTTTAACATAACATGAAAACAACTGATATATTTTCTAGTTCCTCTGAAAGGCCCGCCCTCAAGTGACTCTGATTGGTCTTGTGTCATAATGTGCTGGGATTTGCAGAGCGGCTCCACTTCACGCCCGTACCTCATGCCCGCTCTCTAAAATAAAATCTGACAAGTGTCTGTAACGAGTGAAAATGGGGTGCGGCTCCTTTAAGAGAGTGTGTGTGTGTGCCATTGTGTGTCTTTACGTGTGTGGGAGTGTTTATGTGTGTGCATGTGTAACACGAGAAGCGCATGTGCGTGGGAGCGATGTATATTTTTCTTTTTCTCTGATGCTCGGATAAGGTTATTTTCTGTAATATATCATGACAGAAGAATAAAGCACAAGATGTGGGATGCGACCTGTGTGAGCCTTGATTTTTTTTTTTTTTTTTTTGCTGCTACAGGAGTCAGGAGAACTCTCCTTTATTTTTTTTAACTCAACACGTTACACAACGTCTTTCACATATATCCAGAATATGCAGGTGTAAGTAATATGAATCATCCACATATCTTTTGGGACTTCCTTATCTGAGATGTAAAACGCATGGCAAAGCTGCCTATAGAGAAACAATGCAAAGTCGCGCACACACATTGAGAGAGGCTGCACGCGCTGATGAAATATGTGTGTGTGTGTGTTTATAGCAGTTCTGACTGATAAATATGAATTTGAAGCTAAATCGTTAGCAGTGGCGAACAGCACTTCCTGTTGTTTACATCTTTGCTTCAACATTCTATTAAGGCCAGACACTGTACATGTCATTAGCAATTTTAACAAATAAAAACACTTTCAGGTCGTGGCTCAGAGTTCACAGCGTCTCCTTGTAGCTGCTCCGTCTTTGATGAGATTTTAGCCGAATCCAGCACTGAACTGGGAGAGATTCTGGAATCAATTTTGTCAAATCATGCTTGCTGTGTATTTATAATTCTCCGGAACATAATTAATGTTGAACTGTAAGCACTTCTGTCTTTGTGTCTTTTTCCTTTGGAAGCCCAAATGCAGAAACAGAGAAGCTCAGTGGAAATAGCAGCGTTTGGCAAGAATTTTAGCTCTCTCGGCTGTAACGTTGCTGTACCTCTGGCCACGGCCCTTAGCTGCGTAGTGTGTGTGTGCGGTAAAAGTACATTTGTGATCTCACAAGGCCCAGAAGTATTTTTTGTAATCCCCAAAATTTGTTCATTGTAGGCTTTGCTAAGCTAACTCTGTAAAAACCAAGGTCTCCCTTTGCATTGAACTTTGAGCATTTTACATTCAGTGATGTTGTTTATGTTCACAAAGCTACATTACACATCAACTAAAGTTTAAAATATGATATCGTAGTGGACCACCCCTTTAAATTATTTGTTGTGACAGCTAAATATATTTTTTAATAAACTAAAATGTTAAAAAGACTTATTTTATCCTGCTTTCCCTTCTGTCTTCCATCATCTGTATGGCCCATAATGCATCTCATTATGCGAGCCTATGTCTTCTCAGGTGTGAATCACTTCATTAGCAGAGATAGTTCATGCCTCGCATACAGCCATCGTCTAGTTTCTGTGTTTAAGAAAATCTAAATCAATATATTGTTTTCTGTTAGCAAGTAAACAAGATTATTTTCACAAATTTTGAAGCAAAAACTCTAGTGTGCTGATGCAGAGGCGTCAATGAAAGGATCCTTCAACAGTGTCCACCCTCCTCATATGAAGAATGACAAGAGTAAAGATATTTGACTTGACCTGCAGGACTAAGACAGATGAGAGTTTTGACATTCAGCTTGACCTGTATGATATACCACACTTTCTAAGAAGTACTATCTTCAATTTACTGCTTCCCACAACCACACTGCCACCCTCCCAATCAGTCTCTTTTAGACGCAATCTGTGCACTCTGTCTTCTACTTTTCCTCTAGACACAGTCTGTGCTCTTTTTCCTCCACTTCACCTTAACTGTTTTATACTATCTTCCCTCACACAGCAAGTTCTTACTTTTTGATGCTAATACTGCAACACAAACATTCTGTTGCACTTTAACGGTCTAGATCTTTCCTCTCTCCACAAGGCCAATGCACTTTTCTCCCTCTAACCCATGACTATCCACAGAGAACTTAATCAGTAAAATAAAAAGCATAATCTTTTTATGATGAGTAAAAATCTTTGTGCATGTTTATTGAATAACCCATCACAGGTTACTATAGTAGAAGAATGTAAATTATGATATGCATTTATTTTATTGGAAAACATGTCTTTTCACAAAAAAGACTCATACAGATGCTGATAAAGATCAGGGACTGGCTAAAATGGGTATTTTTGAATTGGTCAGTGTATGTCTAGTAGATAAATCCCATTCCTACAATAGGTAAAATCGAAACATTACCCCTAAAACCACTGAAAACTTTATTAACTTTTATTATTTTTAAAAAGTTAGATCAATAAGAAAAATGCAGCATGCAGTTGAATTACATAAATACATTTGGTTCAAGAAAGCATATGCATTACACAAAAAACAGAAAAAAAGGCTCTAAATTAAAAAAGTAATTTACTCTATTGTTTTCAAAAAGGAGTAGATCAAAAGCAAGGTTGCAAAAAGATTTTGTCCAAAACACAAAGTACAAAAATTTTTTCAAATATAAAACATGATTTTTAAATGTTGCATGGTCAGTGTTAAAAATATATCATACCAACAAAAAAAAAAAAAAAAAAACAGTTTTCCATATCAGCTAACTGACTGTTTTTTCTTTTGCATCAGGTCATTTTTTTTAGTGCACTTCAAATTCAGAATATTTTCACAACAAATTATTAATTACTTGTTACCAATAGTTTTGTCTAACGTTTTATCTTCATGTACACATATTCAGTATAAATAAATTAAATTTCATACTAAGAGCTATTTTTAAATGATTGCTACTAAGCATTGCTCTATGATAACTGGTTTAACTGTACCACCTTTACCAAATGTAAAGTAATGTATAAATATACAACTGAAAGTCTGGTCTCTCGTACCATATATAAGAGGACTTAGAAATTTGGGAAACATTATAAGCACTAAAAAGCAAACATATATAGCATGTAATGCTGTCATTAAGTCAGTATTAACATAAATAACTTCTTGGATAACTCCAGCTAAGATGGATAACGCACAAAGACCCAGCTGTATTAGATGCAGAAGAACAGTCTTATTGGCTTTTTTGGCTGACATTTTATCACAGGCAGCTGTTTTAGCCACAGCTGCTATAGAGGCATAAGTAAAGATTATAACAAAACTTACTAAAGTAAAAAACATGCTTGTGAAAGCTATATCGAGTTTATTGTAGATCTGCAGCCTAAAAAGAGTAGTTCTTGAACAGAACAAACTCATTTCTATGTTTGTAGTATCAATGCAATAAAAAATAATAATCTCAGACAGAGACTTAATCATACCTAAAATACAAATAACACCAATAGCTATGTGAGTTCTTTCAGAACTGGTGAATTCTGCATGTCTGAGAGGAAAACAGATGGCCACATATCTCTCCAGTGACATTAATGACAGATTTAAAATAGAGATGTGATAGAGATATGTTGCAGCAATGAGAAGAAAAAGACAAACATTCTTCATAATTAAAATCCTACTGATAGCACATAAATACAACAACACACTCATAAGGAGACTGAGAGTATCGACCCAAAGCATCTGACCAAACAGAATATAGCGAGACGTCTGCTGGAAAACAGTCTTTTTCCTCAAAGTGAAGATCATGACTCCGTTGACATAGAGGAAAATAACACATGGTGTCACAAGCAAAAATGTCTTCAATGGTACATATTGATCCATCAGTCTCTGAGTGTTGTTAGATGAAGATCCATTCAAAGAAGACATTTAAAAAAACACAATGGTCAAATTAATCACAGAAGCTGTTTTAGAGTACAGAACAGAGTACAATCTGCAAATCTACAGTATGTGCTGCAGATGCTAGGTGCTTCTGAAGATAGATACCAGAGCGTCACATTTTAAATACTGTCAGACTGAATCCCAGTGGGGGGTTTACGTGTGTACATCAAAAAGCATTCCATAATAGCAAATGTAGCTTGAATTGATTGTGAATTATTTACTGTGAATTAATTCTGATAACAGAATTGTGAATTCATCACAGTTTAAGGGACATTTTCTTGGTTCTTTTGTTTACTATATCAACACCTGATAGTGAGATTATTTAAAACAAAAAGCCAACTGTCCTTAAATAGCTGTAGGATAAAGCTAAATGTAAACATATAAAACCTATAGTGAAAAAGTTACATTGCATCGAAACCCAATCAAGCCAAAAAAAAAAAAAAGCCAAAAAAGTTGATAGACCACCCCTTTAAAAAAACATTGCGTTGGTCAGATCAAATGTAGCACATTCTCAAGGTGAATGTGTACCTTGACTCAAAGGGTCAAACAACAAAAAAAAAAGGTCAAGAATCTTGGTGTTATTCCAGAGTCAGAAAAGGGTTTCAGTAATTATGTCAAAGCAGTAACTAAATCAGCATACTATCATCTCAAAAACATTGCAAGAAGAAGATGCTTTGTTTCCAGTGAAGACTTAAGAGAAACTTGTCACCAGCACCATGGATTACTGTAATGGACTCCTCACTGGCCTTCCCAAAAAGGCAGTCAGACAGTTGTAGCTCATCCAGAACTCTGCTGCCAGGATTCTGACCAGAACCATAAAATTGGAGCACATCACATCTGTCCTCAGGTCTTTACACTGACTCCCAGTTACATTTAGAATAGATTTTAAAGTATTATTACTCATCTTTATTTTTTTTAACCTTTTAAAACCTGTTCAACACATTTTGATCTGTTTTTTCTGTTTTTAATCATTTTTATTCTGTTATTATTTTCTTATACTTGTTTCATTTATTCCTGTTTATGTAAAGCACTTTGAATTACAATTGTGTGTGAAATGTACTGTGGAGTATAACAGACTTCAGGAGTTACTGGAATCATTTGTGATCAGAGAGTAAGATGGTCATATGGATTGAGCTCTTTTGAGCTGTATGCAGGCTAGGAGTCTTTGGAAGGCTAGCACTGAAGACTAGAGATTGAAAATGTAGATAAAGTGGCCTGTTGCTTCACCTAATGAAAAAGGAAATCGTCTCACAATCTAGTGCTACTAGGTCAGAGATGGTGGGATGCATGTTTGGGTTGAATCTGGAGCAAAATGTAAACTCAGAGCAGCTTATGAATACGCTAACTTTTGTATTCTGAGAGATGAATGAAGTGATGTCAAAAAGGGAAAAATCTGGAAAAGTTAAGTTATAAAAGGTGCTGTAAAATAAGGTTCTGGGGCAACTGAACAAAATTATGTTTCTAGAGGAAGATTTATGATTTATGGGAAAATCAGCTCAGAAAAGTGTTGGGGTTGGGTGCTTCTCCGCCTCTGGTGGCATCTGCCTGAAAATTCTTGAAAGAAAAACGAGAAAGATGTTTGGTTTTTAAACCAGTGATATGCTTTGTGGTTAAGATAAATTGATCAATAGCTGAGATCCAAGCATCTTAACAGAGGTGGTTGGAGATAAAGGGGCAGCCTTGCAGAATAATGCACATTGGAAAGTTCAAATGATCGAGGATGGATAGGAGCTCCCCTTTGAAGCAATATGTATTTTCTAGAAGAAAAGAGGCTACAAGAACCATTCTGTTTATTTTCTCCTTGGGTAGAGATGCCTGGAAGATGCCCAGCTGATCTGAGATCAGTTCTATTGACCTTGCCTCAAAGCTGATGTATGCAGCTACTGCCAGGCATGTCCCAACTGCCAGTACACATTCCCTGCCCGCTTAATCAGCTTCCCATCATTGAGTTGCCTTTTTAACTGATCAAGGTGACTAGGTGCTCTTCTCCATGCTGGACCTGCGATAGCACAACAGCCAGCCCCACATCTGATGCGTCCATCTGCAGGATTAAGGGGCAGCTGAAGTTGAGAGCTCGAGGGTGGAGATGTACTTGATTGAGCCCAGGCGGTCCAGGAGCTCATCCACTCTGATCATGGGGTATCCGTTAAAGCTAGGGATCGAATTCAGCTTCCAGAAATCATTACGAAAGTAAAGGGTGCCATCTTGTTTGTGTACCATGAACACCGCGCTGAACCATGGCTGGTGGGAGGGCTTAGTGACACTCATCTCCTTTATTTGAGACCCATCTCCTCTGAGACCCGGTAGGGCCGCTGTCGGATGATTTATCCCAGTGGTGTGCAGATGTGCTGCTAACTCTTCATTCTGGCTGGCCAATAACTGCTCACCCAAGGCAATGATTTTTGGGTGTAGGCGGATAGCTCCCCTGAGGAGTGATCCAGCGCTTTAACCGGTTGACGTTTAGAACCATTTGTTCCTCATTGGCACACTGGCTGATGTAATTTATTGTTGACCGGCCCAATGTTCACCACTATCATACCTGGCCCTTGCCTGGATGCCAGGAATTTTGCTCTAGCTCTATGAATGAGAATGAGTACCTGGTCCCCCAGCTGGATTTCCCGTGATTGGGTTGGCCGGTCATAAAGACGGTGCTTGATTCGCTGGGACATGGCCAGGTGTTTCTCGAACGATGAACATCAATTTGTTGATTCACTCTCACATGCTCCATATGTGCTTGATCACACTGTGATGTGGTGTGAACTGCTGTTCCCAAGCTTCACAGGCAAGATCCAACAAACCGCAAGGAGAATGGTAAAACAGCAGCTCTTAATTGGCATGAAACTGGTTGAGGCTTGGGGTTTAAGGGTCTGCTTGAAGCACTCAACCACACCATCAGTCTGGGAACGATAAACAGGTGTGCGTAGTTGTTTCACTTGAAGTAGTCGGCAGATCTCAGTCATCAGCCAGCACATGATGGGGGTGCTCTGGTCAGTCAGGATCTCAGATGGAATCCTTACCCAACTGAAGAAATAAAACATGTCTCAGGCAATTATTTTAGCTATGGCCTGACGTGGGGGAATTGCCATAGGATAATGGGTGGAATAAACAACTATGATCAGGATGTTCTCATGGCCCCGGGCAGAGTGTGGCCTTGATAATGCAGAGTGGTACAAGTGGGCTAGAGGGAGGTTTCCTATGCGAGATCCATTGACAGTTGGGACAGCAGTGCCAACAATAAAAAACAAAAACAAACAAACAGTATTTCACTATATGACAAATAAGGTAGCAAGACCATATAGCTGAGGCAGTAACATAGAAAGACAAAACACCAACAAGGATCTTGAAATGAAATACAAATTTATTAAGCTACACATAGATAAAACTATTCTATGTAAAACAGACACACAGATACACACTCAAAACTTCCCAAATTCTTGGAAGAGTGAATGACTGAGAATGAGCAACTAAGAGTCCCAGATGTCTAGAATTTGCTAAGTTCTTAGCATTGCAACCTGAGAAAACCATCAAGCAGAGAATCTGAATAAAATTTACTGCTTAAACTTAATTCATACTAGCTTCAGCAAGAAATGAAAGGTGGGTTTGTCTGTACTTTTGATTTAATTACCAGTCACTTGTCAGTTGGTTGACAAAGACTCTGGCAAAGCTAGTTGGTTGCAATGCAATTACATGATTGGAATGTCCTTTATTTTGGAGAGAGGGGATTTCCTTGGATTTCGTTGTTCAGGTTACAGAGAATCGACGTCAGTAATGCAGGAAGTTGATTGAACGAGGATTCTACTGACACCTGTTCCTCTGCAGAATTACAAAACTTAGAAAGTCAAAGTTCAGAGGAATTGAATGACTGACCCTACTGCTGTATGAGGCAGCGTTCGAGTGTTCAGGGGAAAGCAGTAATACGAGCAGAACCGGGTCAGACTGAGTTTGTGCGAGTCATTAATGTACATAGTAGCAGCATGGACTCCTGTGACTTGAGTCTCATTACTGTAGCCACAGCAACGTATGATATGGGCAACTGTAGCAATGTTACAGTGGACAGACGCAGGCAAGTGTGGTTCTTCCAGATAGCGATGTCAGGCAGGAATGTTGCAAGGACGGTAAGTGAGTAAAACTAAGTGAGTTTATAGAAACCCTTCGTAAAGCCAAAGCGAAAGTCATAAAACTTTACATTTCTAGAGTTTTATGGGTAACAGAACTTAATCCAGCCAAAACTGTAAATGTCCAATGGCTGTGGCTGCTGAGCATGGCCCCGCCTCTCTTTCCCCTAAGTAGCTACACTCATGGTTAGAGCAATCCATGATTGGGTGAGACAAATAATTTTTTTTACTAATATTATTGAAAACTAAATAAAGCATTGTAAATAACTACTATTTCAAGAGTTCACACTTAGCTGATGATTGATTATAAAGCGTGTTTGGCATGCTGTTCCAGCAGAGAGCCCTGAGCTCATAAGATCCTTGAGCCCAGGGCTCCCTCCCATTACAGTGTGAGAGGGGAGTTTGAGCTTAGGTAGATCTCAAAACTCCACTGTTGTTGTAGCTAATGAACAAACAGGAATTGCTATGAAAAGATAACGACTTACTAGAAGCATGTCTATGGTGCCGGTTTGGATTAGTGACTTAACTTAGGTTGCATTTTTTTGGATGGTGGGAGGAAACCGGTCCCAGGGGAAACCCATGCAGGTATGGGGAGAAAATATAAACTCAGCACAGAAACATTGACTTGCTTGGTAAGGACCAGAACCAGTGACATTCTTGCTGTGAGGCAACAGTGCTAACCACTGGGCCACCGCGCCATCCATCTAGGAAAGGTGGAGTAGGGGTGGAAGGGGTCATTGTTTAAAAAGAAGATGGCTGTGGTATGAAACTTTTATTTTATTTTGTTATTTATAGAGACTTAGGAGTCCTCTGATTGGTAAATCATGAATTGGCAAATGCAGGATCAGTTGTATTCAATCATAAGCACATGTTCCCCTCAACATTAGTTTATAAATAAACTTTACTTCAAGATTTCGTGTTTGGAATGCTGTTTAGGGAGAGAGCCCTGAGCTCATAAGATCTTCGAGCTAGGGCTCCCTCACGTTGCAGGGTAAGAGGGGAGTTTGAGCTCAGGTAAATCTTGAAACTCCCCAAAATCCCTTTATTAGCTCAGAACAGCAGCCATGCATTGAAGAACCCCTCCAAAATGCAGATAGACCAATACTATTTCCGGCTGCTGGATATAATATTGGGAAAGATTAGGAAGAAGAGATGCTCCTACGGAAGCAGTGTTGGAAGTGGGCTGGGGGAGTTGAAGCTCAGGAAGAGCTACTATTGGAGTTAGAGCTTTATGGAGTGAGGGCCTTAACGGCAGAAAGAAAAGCAGCGGAATAATCAATGATAGAAAAAGAAACTTAGAAGAGAAACTCGACACTGAAGGAAGAAAATTAGTGGAGGAACTCAATGCTGAAGGAAAAGGGCAGTGGGATGATAAGTTAAGGATACAAAACATATAGGGAGGGATGCAAAAGTGGAAAATAATAGTGGAAGCAATCAGCACTGTAAGGAAGTAAAAGAAGGTGCAAAATAAGTGCAGGAAGGGAAGGGCCAGAGAATTTTAATGCCAAAAAGAATAAAAGCAGAGTTTTTTAAAGGCTGGGGAGGGGCAATGAATGACTGCTGTGGCAGTAGTAGCTCAGGGTAACTCCTGCAGGATTCAGAGCTGTAGGAGGCATTTCTCCTGCGCAAGTCTGGGAAAGAGAGGGGGGGATGGAGACTCCTGCAGGAGGTAGCTGGGGTGAGACTACTGCGGGAATCTTACCCATAGTTTCTTTCCTACGCTGGAAAGAAAGTGATATTTTGCTGAATGAAGAAAAAGTGGCAGAGGAAATCAACACTGAAATTGAGAAAAGGGGATCTAGTGGTGGGATAAAAGAAGATATTGAGAAAGAAGGGGAAGACGGAAGGTGTGTGTATATATATATATATATACACACACACACCAGAGGGGGCTTATACTGGAAGCGTGGATGTGAAGGGGTGGTATGACTACTGCGGGAGTCAAAGCTCAAGGTAGACTCCTGTGGAAGTCAGAGCTGTTGAGAGGTGAGTGGTGGTAAAGCGGAGCTTAACAGTGCTTGGGGAACTGAAAAGTAGGGAAAAGAGTGCGAAAAGTAGTCACGGGCCATCAATGCTAGATAGAGGGTTAGTGTGGAACAAAGGCAGGAGTAACTTATTTGAATATATTTGATGAAGAGGGTGGTTTATGAGTCAGAAATAGCATCTGAAGGGGACCCGTGGAACAATTGAATCCAGTGTGGTAGCTTCTGATTGAGCATCTTGAATGTTTTTTGAAACATGTAGGTGTGCAATGAATGTGGTAATAGAGAGGAGGGAAAAAATCTGAGAAAAGGGGTTTAACAAAGGATGATAGAGGTTGGACAATTGTCTCCCACAGGATGGCGGAGAGATAAAGAGGTAAGGATATGGGACATGGTTAGGCTTGTAGTCCTGGAAACACTTTTTGAAGGTGGAGTAGGTGAAGTGATGGTGGAGTAGAGTTTAAACCCCTTAGAAATCTTGAAATTTTCTTAAAGTGCCATTTTTTTGCCATTTTCACATTCAACTGACTTGCCATTGTAAATTTGCTTTTGACACTTTTGTGTATGGACATAAGAGTCACCATGGCACTATTAACTTCTATGGTCGATGTGTTGAAAGTTTTTCACTATGGATAATAATCTTTTCAAAAGTTAAATAGCTATCTGATGTAAAAGAGTTTTTTTTAATTCTGTCCATTTAATCCATGATTAAATAACATCACATTTGGAATCTTACCGTGATTAAATCACAAGCACATCTGGCCTAATTAATTTAGCCTTTTGCAACCGGGTCCATTCATAAACTGTCAAGAGATAGGATGGAACCATCCCATGTTCTGGGGGCTTCCAGGATGGTGACACTTCTCCTTTCCGCTATTGGCTCATGAAGTGTCAATCAAAAATGCAAAAGGCCTTGGATTGCCTGGACCCTTTTCAGTCAAATTACTCTAAGCTGTTAGAATATTATGGATCTGTGGACAGGGGGGAGGGTTGATAGGTAAGTTTGTTAGGTTTGTTACCTCTGGTTGTTGGCAGATCGACAGAGGACACTAATGTCTGTTGTGTTGGTATCTTAACACCTGGTAGATCTTTTGGTCCTATGACTGTCTTAACTTAAATAGTAAAGTAATAAGCACAATCTTTTCACGATGAGTGCATGTGCACAAAATTGTCACTTTTTAGCAAAATTTGCTCATTTATAGCAATTACAAGTTGTCTTTGTGCATGTTTATTCAAATAACCCATCACAGTGAAAGAATGTGAAATATCATATGCATTTGTTTTATTGGAAAACATGTCTTTTCACCAAAACGACCCATACAGATGCTGATAAAAGATCAGGGACTGGCTAAGATGTGTGTAGACTTTGTTTTTTGTTTCACATGTAGTGGTCACATGTAGTCACAATGAAGCTTTGGACTTGTCAGTAGTTAAATCCCATACAATAGGTACAAATCCAAAACATTATCCCTAAAACCACTGAAAACTTTATTTTTACCGTTTATTATTTTTAAAAAGTTTGATCAAGTTTCACTAAGGCAAGCATATGCTTTAGACCAGGGGTCACCAATCTCCATCCTGGAAGGCCGGTGTCCCTGCAGGGTTTAGCTCCAACTTGCCTCAACACACCTGGCTGGATGTTTCAAGTATACCTAGTAAGACCTTGATTAGCTTGTTCAGGTGTGTTTGATTAGGGTTGGAGCTTAAATCTGCAGGACACCGGCCTCCAGGAACAAGTTTGGTGACCACTGCTTTAGACAAACAGAAATAGCCTCCCCCCATCTTGAATAAAAACTTTATTTTACAAAATAATTTAATTGTCTTCAAAAAGGAGCAGATCAAAAGCAAGTCTGAAAAATGTTTTTGTAAAAAACACACAAAAAATACTTCATTTGAAATAAAAAAGCCATAATGATATTTTAATGTTCCATGGTCAGAATATTATATCATACTAACAAAACAAAACTATAAACAACAACAACAAAACTTTTGTTCTTTTGCAACAGGTTAGTTGTTTTAGTGTGATTCAAATTCAAAATTATTTTAAAACAAATTATTATCACTTATTTATTACATATAGTTTTGTCTAATATTTTATCTCAATGTACACAAACATATTCCGTATAATAAAATGCTATTTTTCAATTTTTGCGACTAAGCATTGCTCTATGATAACTGGTTTAACTGCACCACCTCTACCAAATGTAAAATAATGTATAAATATACAACTGAAAGTCTGGTCTCTCATACCATAAATAAGAGGACTTAGACATTTGGGTATCATTATAAACACTAAAAAGCAAACATATATAGCATGTATTGCAGTCTTTAAGTCAGTATTAACATAAATAACTTCTTGGACAACTCCAGCTAAGATGGATGACGCACAAAGACCCAGCTGTATTAGATGCAGAAGAACAGTCTTATTGGCTTTTTTGGCTGACATTTTATCACAGGCAGCTGTTTTAGCCACAGCTGCTATAGAGGCATAAGTAAAGATTATAACAAAACTTACTAAAGTAAAAAACATGCTTGTGAAAGCTATATCGAGTTTATTGTAGATCTGCAGCCTAAAAAGGGTAGTTTTTGAACAGAACAAACTCATTGCTATGTTTGTAGTATCAATCCAATAGAAAATAATAGTCTCGGATAGAGACTTAATCATACCTAAGATACAAATAACACCGAAAGCTATTTGAGTTCTTTCAAAACTGGTGAATTCTGCATGTCTGAGAGGAAAACAAATGGCCACATATCTCTCCAGTGACATTAATGACAGATTTAAAATAGAGATGTGATAGAGATATGTTGCAGCAATGAGAAGAAAAAGACAAACATTCTTCATAATTAAAATCCTACTGATAGCACATAAATACAACACCACACTCATAAGGAGACTGAGAGTATCGACCCAAAGCATCTGACCAAACAGAATATAGCGAGAGATTTAAAAAAAATATCAAATTAACCATAGAATGCTTTGAATTTGCAAATCTACAGTATGTGCTGCAGGTGCTGGATACTTCTGAAGATAGATACCAGAGCATCACATTTTAAATACTGTCAGACTGAATCCCAGTGGGGGGTTTACGTGTGTACATCAAAAAGTATTCCATAAAAGCAAATGTAGCTGAATTGATTGTGAATTATTGATTGTAAAATAATTCTGATAACAGAATTGTGAATTCATCAGTTTAAGGGACATTTTCTTTGTTCTTTTGTTTACTATATCAACACCTGTTAGAAAGAAAAAGTAAAAACAGAAAGCCAACAGTTCCTAGATAGTTAGGCTAAAGCTAAATGTAAACGTTTACAACTTAGCATGAAACAGTGCACCCAAACACAAATCAAGCTTTTCAAAATAGTTGATTGACCACACCTTTAAACCATTACATTGGTCAGATGGAATGTAGCTGTTTAAAGCCCGTGGAGCATAACAGACTTCAGAAGTTTGTGGAATCATTTGTGATCAGGGAGTATAATGGGCATTTGGATTGAGCTTTTTTGAGCAGTATGTAGGCTTGGAGTTTTTGGAAGGCTAGCACTGGAGACTTAAGATTAGATAGAGATAGATAAAGTGGCCTGTTGCTTTACCTAATGAAAAAGGAAATTGTGTCACAATCTAGTGCTACTAGGTCAGAGATGGTGGCATAAATGTTTGGGTTGAATCGGGAGGTAAATGTGAGCTCAGAGCATCTCAGAATACCTGAACATGAAAAATTAACATGGCATCAAGTGTGTGGTCTGTGTGGACTGAATGGTATTCTTTACAAAGTGTAGAGATATACTTGGTAAGGACTTTTAGGGCTTTGGGTTGTCAGGTAACTTGACGTGTAGGGTGAGTTCTTTGTGTTTCTTTGATGAAGAGGGCTATTTGGGAGTTTGTTCTGTAGGGGAACCTTAAATAAGTTTGTGATTTTAATAGAAAATGATAGCTTTTAATTGCGCTTACATGATTTTTTTTTTTAAATTTGTGTTTGGGTGTAAGATGAATGAAGTGATTTCAAGTAAAGAAAAATCTGGCAGGGATAAGTTACAAAGGGTGCTGTAAAATAAGACTATGATACTGGGGCGACTAGATGAAATCCAGGGATGTTTCTAGAGGAAGATTCAGTGGATGATCTATGGAATATCAGCTTTGAAGGGTGAGGTATTGATGTTGGGTGCTGCTCCACCTCTTTTCTGAAAAGAAAAACAAGAAAGAGTGTCAGCTGTTTGGTTTTTAAACTAGTGATGTGCTTTGTGGTTGAGATAAATTAATCAATAGCTGAGATCCAAATGAAACATCTTAACAGAGGCAGTGGGAGGTAAAAGGACAGCCTTGCGGAATAATGCACATTGCAAAGTTCAAATGGCAGAGGATGGTTAGGAGTTCCCCTTTTAAAGATGTTTGTTTTTTAAAAGAGAAAATAGGCTACAAGAACCCTTCTGTTGCTTTTCTCTTTGGGCAAAGATGCCTGGAATTTTTGCGAATCGAGATCGATACCCAAAAATTTAATGGACGTGCTTGGACCTGGTGTTTTGTTTTGTGCTAGAGAGATTCTGAGCTTGGTGAAAACCATTTGAGATGCCAAAGGTGTTCAGCTGAAATGGCTTTGGGTGGTGAGATAATCATAAAATTGTCTAGTAGATGGATTAGGTGAGATATATTGTAATAATTATAGAGGATCAAGCAGATTCCTTCTGAAATATGTCAAAAATAGTTGGGCTATGTCTGCAGCCAAAAATTAGCCAGAGAGAAGAATAGTCTTTTTCTCTAAGTCAGATGCCAAAAAAGTGCCAAAAATCAGCGTGGATGGGACTTAGTAATCCTAACGGAAGGCGGAAGTAATGCCAACTTTAGCCATCCAAGCACCTGCGATTTTGATCAAGAAAATTACTTGGTCAATGTTGTGGTAGATTAAGGTAAATTATTTTAGCAGAATTAGACTGTTGTTACTTAGACACAGAGAATTGTGCAGGGGCAAGAAGTTGATTATGAACCAATTTTAACCTGAGAATTTTCTGGTGGCTATTCCAATCGGGCTAATTATTATTATTTTTTTAATTAGTGGAAAAATGGTAAAGGATTAATTTATCATCAACTTTGTTCTTTAAGTGATTGACTTTTTCTGGTTTGATGAGAGCGGACTGCAGATTGGTGCATATGAGATTTTGGGATAGGAGATTAATAACGCCAGGGTGAAAACTGGGTGAGAGACATGACCGTAAATTGTTTATAGATATGGTTATGGTAGATGTGGTAGATAAAGCAATTTTATTGGTTGTTTTATGCACACCACAGCAAAAATTACAGATATGCATGCATTTACAGCACTGTCTTTTAAACCTACTGGTGTTAAAGTTGGAACAGACAAGGAAGGCAGAGGAGCGCTTATCAGGAAGGTTGAGGAGGGTAAGGACTTTGGAAGTATTTGGGGGTTGCGGGACTAAGCTTGTGGATTTGGGCTGTGAAGGTTTTGGAATGGGAGGAATAAATGGGTTTTGATAGAGTGAGCAGGACATTTTGCTGCAAACAAGGAAGACTTTGTTGTAGATATCAAATTATTTTTTTAGGCTGTTGGATACTGATGGGGGTTCAGGGCACATGTGTTTGGTGGGATGGAAGGAAATGTGGCTATGGAGTGGTATAAGTGAGTGAGTGTGAAAGAGATGGAAGAAAAGATACCAGGGCCGTATGTGGTGGCATGCTCCCGCTCTGTATGACACTGGAGGTGAGAGAAGGATGGGTGGTAACGAAAAGTGAAAGGAATCACTGGAACTGTGATTCCATCACAGTGGAACTTGATTTGGCTGTCTTTGGGTCTGGAGAATGTATTTTGCTGCTTGCCATGCATGCTCTGAATGAAGAGGAGCTTGGATCTGGTTGTGTATATGTCGGGCTTTGACCCTGTCATAATTTGTTGACCACTCGATGGCAGAGTTGAAGATGCAGTTCCTGGTTGCAAAGAAAAGTACAGTGTTTGTAGTTTGGATTTATTAAAAAAGCAGAGAATACTAATGTCTGTGTTTTCGAGCTATTGACGCATGTAACCTTGGTCCGGGAGGAGCGGTGGCTCCATTTGTGGTCGAAGAACGACTGTGGACTCTATTGCAGAGCTCTGCAGTGCATTGGTGTTTGGAGCCCTGGCAAGAGAGGCAAGAAGAGCCAGGCATGAAAATTTGTTGTCTTCAGGAGAGAGTTTAAACTGGTCTCTCACAGCGAGAGAGATAACATAGTAAGACACACCTGATTTTTTATAGGGGCTTATTTTAATGCTGATTGACAATTTATATGATTGTCAATGTTAAATTTGTCTTAATGATCTGCTTTGGTTTCTTTCAAAATTAGTTTATAAAACAATAGGTTACTGTTTGTAACCAAAGTTCTCTGAAGCATTGAGTAGAAAGATGTTTCTCAAACCCAAGTTTGCCCCACTTGCTGCATGAGAACCAAATATGCTCACTGAGGAATAGCAGTGCATGCAGAAGGTTTATGCACAGAGGTAAAGGGGCATAAGCCAGACTTGGTGCAATTGGATGCTACTGCAGAGGTTAGGCATGGAGGCCTGTGGATCTCGCCACACTATGTTTTAGAGAACTGGGGCTACGAAGAGTAACCCATTGCTTTTTAGATTCTTTGTTTTGATTTTCTTTTTGATATACAAGATTATGCAGTCAAACTGACTTTATTTAATATGTATTATTTATTAAATGTATTAAAACTCTTGTATTGAAACAGACATGTATAATGCAAAATAAAACGATTCTGGCAAACATGAACATAAATGCATATTTTACTCAATATTCTGCTGTGTTTATTCTATATATATATAGAACACACACACACAGCTGAAGTCAGAATTATTAATCCCCATGTTTTTTATCCCCAATTTCTGTTTAACAAAGTGCAGATTTTTTTTCCAACACATTTCTAAATATAATAGTTTTAATAACTCCTTTCTAATAACTGATTTATTTTATCTTAGCCATGATGACAGTACATGATATTTGACTAGATCTTTTTCAAGACACTTCTATACAGCTTAAACGGACATTTAAAACCTTAACTGGGTTAATTATGTTAGCAAGGCAGGTAAGGGTAATTAAGCAAGTTATTGTATAGCGACAGTTTGTTCCAAAGACTATTGGAAAAAAAAATAACTAGCTTAAAGGGACTAATAATTTTGACCTTAAAATGAGTTAAAAAAAAACTGCTTGTATTCTAGGCAAAATAAAACAAATAAGATTTTGTTCAGATGAAAAATATTATCAGACATACTCATAAGTATTCTATGAACGATGAATATTCATGCACTGTTCAGGCATGATAAGAAAAAAATAGGCCACAAATGTGAGTCAAAAGTGAAGAATTAATTTAAATCTTTGTGGAATATAACTGATAGCATATAAAAAACAAAATAAATAATAAAAAATAGTTTGCATTTGTCTGTATCTTAAAAAAAAAAAAAAAAAAAAAAAAAAATATATATATATATATATATATATATATATATATATATATATATATATATATATATATATATATATATATATATATAGTTAAAATAAATATAAATTGGATCCCACCATAATGCTTTATATCATAGGTCTCAAATTTAATTTTTGGAGGGCCGCAGCAGCTCTGCACAGTTTTGCTTCAACCCTCTAATCAAACACAGCTAATCCAAATAATCAAGGTATTTAAGACTACTAGAGACTATTAAGCAGGTGTGAGTCGGAGTTGGTTTGAACTAAACTATGTAGAGCTGCGGCCCTCCAGGAAGTAGTTTGAGACCTCTGCTTTATGCCATAGTTATCAGTCACGCCCAGCAAGGATGCACGAAAACATTTGGTCAGTGATCAGTGACTTGTTCAGAAGATACCTTTTCTTTTAAAACAAATGTTTGTATTTACATGCAGCCAAA